CCAGGCTAAATAGGTCACTGGCGGTAGCACGGTGGTAATTTCGTAAATTTGTGAAGCGTCTTAAAGTGGTCGGAACACGACTGAGACGGCGCATTTCGGCCACTTTTGGCCTCTGTGCTCATGGTCTCATCGGGTGACAGACTAATTTCAGATGAGACGCTGTAGAAAATCGTGATCATTGAGACCGTGTCGCATTCAACCAAAATAACTTTAATATAAGCTTTCAAAAACACTATTGACTGTATACGCAAAAGGCACGGCTAAGGCGGTCAGTAAGGGCGGCCGGACTTATTACTTCCTTATCTGTTTCTTAGAGGTAATGACATCATATTAATTCATGAATAAACGTAGTAAATTCAAAAATATTTCCATCACTATAAAAATCGAAACATTGCTGCATTGGGTGCGATATTACAACACCAAAGCCATGCGAAAACGGCTTTCATCCACCATTACTCCACTGGCCTGTCTTCATGTTGCTTGTAAGAACCAATGTCCAATGCGTGTCATGCAACTGTAGTTACTCATGCCTTGATACAATAAAGATATTTGGCGGTTTTCATACCGTTGTTCTAAAACTGGCAACATGATCCGTTCGGAGCATGGCGGGGAGAGATGGTGGAAGGCCTCTCGCAGGCCGGACGAAGGAGCGCGAGCAGTGTTATCTTGAAGAGCTCCCCCGCGGGCCCACCTTCCGGAGCTCTATCCTCTCAGAGAGAAGGCCGCCGCCGCGCGGCTCTTGGTGCGCTCACGGATCCGCACCATCTACATACGGCGGTGGGCTTTTCCACGGTCGTGGAAACTCCTTGTGACACACACGCCGCTGACGACACCCCGGGGCGGGGGGCGCCGGCCACGCGAGGGCACGCCCGCCATCCGGCCCTATAAATGTCATCACTTGCGACCTCAAAGGCGGTTAGCTATTAAAGCGGACGGAAATCGATACCGTCATCCCCGAAGCCCGATAGCCTCCAATTGCGTGACAAATAGGAGGCCGACGGGCAGCACCTGTTGGCAGGCCCCCCAGGTGTGGCGGGCCGGCGCAGAGCACCGGGGCGGCGTGCTTACCGCTGCGCGTGCGCCCTGCACACGACTGACCGCTCTATCCGTTGGATTAGCCCGGGGATGACGCGCTGTGTGCATACGGTCGACGCAAAGGACGCGCCGCCCTGGCGCTGGCTTGAATTCGCTACTGCGTGCCCGGCTGGGCCCCAACGCCGGAGTCGCGGCGGCGCGCCCGGCCCATGGCCACCCGGGGCGGACCGTCCGATCGCAACGCCCCGTGCACATGTCAAGCGGCGCTGCGTATCGCCGCGCGTCTGCGCCCGTCATGTCTTTGTAGTTGGTCCTCGGGATGAGTTACGCGCGCGGGGCTAGCGCAGCACATAACGCCCAATTAACGCCGGCAATCGGCCGAAAAACCAAATGAGGCGCCGTGTCATTCGTGCGGCTATTACGGCGCGCGTTTTGTTTCAACTAAGTGGCTATTACGTCCGTAACGGACGCTGGTGCGCTCCGGCGGCCACCGGCACTGAACTCGGGGCCGGGGCCGGGCCGGGCCGGCGACTGTCGCCTCGGGGCCCGCGGCCGGCGCGCCCCCGCCAGCCCGCTTAGTTCATGCAGCGGGCTCGGCGCCCGTTCCCGCGGGAGGCGGCGCCGCTGGCCCGCCGGCCCGTCGGGACCCAGCTGCAGGTTCGACCCGGCCGAGCCGAGCCCGAGGCCCGGTCACGTGGCCGGCGCGAACATCAGCACCGGACCGCGGGTGGCGAGCTCAGGGATTTACCCGGCAGGCAGAGATGAGCGGCGACACAGGAAAGAGGATGAGTGGGACGGCGTGGAGAGACGTGATTTGCTTACCTCTGCGGGTTGAAGATTGTCGTGTGGTAAGGTGTGTGGTCCGGGCGTTTCGCTAGCGACCTCATTTTTGATGCTGGCGTGGTCGAAGTCAACGCTCAAACACCTTGGGATTTCATTTGGATGATCATCTCCCACAGCCGCGGCCAAGGGCTTACCCGTCATGTCAATGCAGTTCCTCACTCAAACGTAGCCATGGGCCGGGCTGTCAGCTCACCCTCCATTACCAGCGAGACCGCAGGCGAAGGAAATCTTCCAAAGAGCATTCCTTGCGTCCCACACGGCAGGGCATAGGGGCATTAGCCAGGGCGAGCATCGCCAGGGGGCGGCGCCGCGCGCGCAATAATGACCATTGTTAAAATGATATGTCTGAATGTCTTCCCAAAATTCAGTAGCACAGTTAAAATATTACACAGGGGGAGTCATTTTTTACAACTTTGAGGTTGTTTTCTGGACCGAATCAACAGTCCACAGCTACGCGGGAAAGTAGAGATTTTAGCTTTACTCTTCCAGTTCCACCATCAGATTCCAGCACCACTTCGCGGTGTTGTAAATCCAATACGTTATTGTCATCAATCTAAAAAAACCGCACGGGTGAAGCATACGCCCGGAAAATCTCTATATGTACGCTTTGGTGTCCAAAAGCGTTCAAAGGTACTTCTTTCAGATGCGTCATCATTTTCGTCCACCTGTTGGCCACCGCCTGGTGTAAATCGCAGGGCTGACGCTGCGCGGCCTAAGCAGACTGAACGATGGTACTGAGTTTTTTGCTACTTAGATGTACGAGCGCACATGCCCAAAATTACGTTACACAATTTATACCACTAATTAATTTTGATTGAACGTGGAACATATCCAGACACACATAGCTTGCCATATTAAACAAAGTGTTGACTTATTTGAATATTAAATCTACATTCGCGGGAATTCTTGCCATTTCTGTGCAACCGAGACAAAATTCTGACAAAGCTTCTGAGTTCCATCGGTTTAAATGAAGCCCACTGGACCATTGTAAAATGAAGAGCGGCGGCGACTTATTTCATGCAGTCATTTAGCTCATGATTTCGACAGTTTTGTTTACTATAAACTTGAGGCAGAATCAATCTCGTTGGTAGCGTATATGGCGCATTTTCAGTTATAAAAGGTTAAAAATGTGTAATACTATATATATATATATATATATATCACATATAAGGAAAACATTTTCTCAACAGCAAATGAGCAATATCCGGTTGCTTTTTAGGGGGTCCCTTACTATCAGGGGAACCTCTTCTCAACCCTGTGCCCCTCATCACGGCTCTGGCTAGGCCCGCTGGTAAGTAAACCGCCATTATTTTACGTGCTGCGACTCGTGCTCCCTAGTCTTGTTGGTAAGATGTTGTCATGGAGCCCTGCGTCACTTGTGTTTGTGGCTGCTGAGGGTTCGTTGGGTTTGAAAGGAGCTTCCACTATAGTGGCCGGTGTTGCAGCAATTGTGGAGCAGCAATTGTCCATGTCTGCACGCATTCCACCAGCCAGCCATGACGAAAAGCTTATGCCGCAAATGCCAAAAGTGGATGTTTGAGCAATATTTACAACACTACATGCAGGCAGTAAAGTGTCAAATTGTTGGGTCGCTCAGCCAGGCAAATTCCAAGACAACAAAATTGGAATAAATAAGTTTAGCCATTTTCCTGCTCAGCTCCCCCCCCCCAAACTATTTTGCAAGATTGTGCCTCTGAGACCTGAGGTACTGAACCTTTAAAATTTAGGCTGGCAGGGGTCTCAGACAAGATGTTGACCCGTGCTGCTTACGTCGGCATCACTGCAACCTTGAGATTGTTTTTGTTGGATCTCAGCTCAATTCCGATTTGAACCTTGGTTCTCGCTGGATCTCAGCTTAATTCTGATCTGTATCTTTTTGTCTGGACCCCTGCATGCTCCAGACTGGATCTTGGTTCCTGCTGTATCACTTAGCATAATGTTGGGCTGGGTCTTGATTCTTGCTGGATCTTTTGACATTATTTCATTCACTTGAATTTTCGTTCCTGATGTTTCTCTTTGGTATCAGACCGGATTTTGGTTCTTGCTGGATCTTTCGACTTAATATGAGGATGATTCTGGTTGCCGGTGCTGGATCCGTCAGCGTTGAAACTGGATCCTGGGTGCTTCTTGGTTCTGAAAGCAGGGTTTGGGAACCGGTTCCCGGGAATATATTGGGAACCAGGGACATGTCTGCATATATGCCATGCGTTCGCATATTTCTGCACGTGTTCATCGATATCGATCCGACGATCTGATTGGCGTGCCAAATATCGACAAACCAAGCCGCCAAGAGCGACGCCTTTCAACGCGGAGCGAAACTTGCCTCTCAAGCCTCCTACACAAAATGCGGGTATGCGCTTCAGCCGTGTGCGTGTGGCGAGAATGCCTTTAGCGCCTCCGTCACGGCATCACCTCGTCTTCTCCCCCGTTCGCACACTCCACGCCGCCTCTCCAAACTAATCCAACTGATAGGGTGGCCGTCACTCCGGGCTGGCTGGCCGTTCCCTATTGATGAGGCTCGGTCCGGGCGGGCGCGTGCCACCCGACACCGCCGCCGCACTGCCGGCCCGACACGCGCTGACCCCCGCCGCCATTTGCGGGTCCCCGAGCCGGCGTGGTGTGTCAATCACATCCGAGCGAGGAGCGCTGTACGGCACTCCCGGTACACCCGGCCAGCAGCGGCGGCGGGCGGCGGCGGCCGACGGCCGCAGCGCGGCTGCGCGGCGGTCCAACCGGCCCTGGCGGGGCGTCGCGCCACGCCACGCAGGCTGGCCTGCGTCTCTGACCGCGTATGTGGTCAGGAACTATGTATGGAGCTGGAAGTCTTGGCACCGATACAAAATATCTGCAGTTTGGGCAAAATTAATGCTGTAGGCATGTAGTGTATTGACTATAAGACCATACAATATCCTGGCTCGCACGATCACCTTGTCTTTTGCTGCTTTAGAATCTGCTTACATGCAAAACATATGGAAGCCATGGAAACTTCGAAAACAAACACGTCTCATGGTTTTCT